GTGTCATCAGCAAAGAGCAACTGTGACAACTCCCACTTTATGTGTGATTCTTATCTTTTAACTCCACGCCTCTTGCCAAGACCCTCGCATTTACTTCTCTTATAACCCCATCTATAAATATATTAAACAACCACGGTGACATCACACATCCTTGTCTAAGGCCTCCCTCTTTCCTACATACTCTAACTTTCAGTAACCTACCTCCTATACCATACACCTGCAACATCTGCCACATTGCCCCCCTATCCACCCTGTCATACGCCTTTTCCAAATCCATAAATGCCACAAAAACCTCTTTAGCCTTATCTAAATACTGTTCACTTATATGTTTCACTGTAAACACCTGGTCCACACACCCCGTACCTTTCCTAAAGCCTCCTTGTTCATCTGCTATCCTATTCTCCACCTTTAACCTTAATTCTTTCAATAATAACTCTACCATACACTTTACCAGGTATACTCAACAGACTTTTCTTTCTTTCTTTCAACACACCGGCCGTATCCCACCGAGGCAGGGTGGCCCAAAAGAAAAACCAAAAGTTTCTTCTTTTACATTTAGTAATATATACAGGAGAAGGGGTTACTAGCCCCTTGCTCTTGGCATTTTAGTTGCCTCTTACAACACGCATGGCTTACGGAGGAAGAATTCTGTTCCACTTCCCCATGGAGATAAGAGGAAATAAACAAGAACAAGAAGTAGAGAGAAAATAGAAGAATACCCAGAGGGGTGTGTATATATATGCTTGTACATGTATGTGTAGTGTGATCTAAGTGCAAGTAGAAGTAGCAAGACAAACCTTAAATCTTGCATGTTTATGAGACAGACAAAAGACACCAGCAATCCTACCATCATGTAAAACAATTACAGGTTTTCGTTGTACACTCATTTGGCAGTATGGTAGTACCTCCCTGGGTGGTTGCTGTCTACCAACTTACTACCTATAACTCAACAGACTTATCCCCCTATAATTTTTGCACTCTCTTTTGTCCCCTTTGCCTTTATACAAAGGAACTATGCATGCTCTCTGCCAATCCCTAGATACCTTACCCTCTTCCATACATTTATTAAATAATAACACCAACCACTCCAGAACTATATCCCCACCTGCTTTTAACATTTCTATTTTTATCCCATCAATCTCAGCTGCTTTACCCTTTCATTTTACCTACTGCCTCACGAACTTCCCCCACACTCACAACTGGCTCTTCCTCACTCCTACAAGATGTTATTCCTCCTTGCCCTATACATGAAATCACAGCTTCCCTATCTTCATTAACATTTAACAATTCCTCAAAATATTCCCTCCATCTTCCCAATACCTCTAACTCTCCACTGAATAACTCTCCTCTCCTATTTTTAACTGACAAATCCATTTGTTCTCTAGGCTTCCTTAACTTGTCAATCTCACTCCAAAACTTTTTCATATTTTTAACAAAATTTGTTGATAACATCTCACCCACTCTCTCATTTGCTCTCTTTTTACATTGCTTCACCACTCTCTTAACCTCTCTCTTTTTCTCCACATACTCTTCCCTCCTTGCATCACTTCTACTTTGTAAAAACTTCTCATTTGCTAACTTTTTCTCCCTTACTACTCTCTTTACATCATCATTCCACCAATCGCTCCTCTTCCCTCCCGCACCCACTTTCCTGTAACCACAAACTTCTGCTGAACACTCTAACACTACATTTTTAAACCTACCCCATACCTCTTCGACCCCATTGCCTATGCTCTTATTAGCCCATCTATCCTCCAGTAGCTGTTTATATCTTACCCTAACTGCCTTCCTTTTTAGTTTATAAACTTTCACCTCTCTCTTCCCTGATGATTCTCCTTGAATCCCATGAATGTATTCAGATGTTTAGGAGTGGACTTGTCAGCAGATGGGTCTATGAAGGATGAGGTGAATCATAGAATTGATGGGAGAAAATGGGTGAGTGGTGCACTTAGGAGTCTGTGGAGACAAAGAATTTTGTCCATGGAAGCAAAGAGGGGAATGTATGGGTGTGAAGTATGGGTGATAAATGTTGCAACGAGAAGGCTGGAGGCAGTGGAAATGTCATGTCTGAGGGCAATGTGTGGTGTGAATATAATGCAGAGAATTCGTAGTTTGGAAATTAGGAGAAGGTGTGGGATTACCAAAACTATTATCCAGAGGGCTGAGGAGGGGTTGTTGAGATGGTTCGGACACGTAGAGAGAATGAAACAAAACAGAATGACGTCGAGAGTGTATAAATCTGTAGTGGAGGGAAAGCGGGGTAGGGGTTTTCCTAGGAAAGGTTGGAGGGAGGGGGTAAAGGAGGTTTTGTGTGCGAGGGGCTTGGACTTCCAGCAAGCATGCATGAGCATATTTGATAGTGAATGGAGGCAAATGGTTTTTAATACTTGACGTGCTGTGGAGTGTGAGCAAAGTAACATTTATGAAGGGATTCAGGGAAACCAGCAGGCCGGACTTGGGTCTTGGAGATGGGAAGTACAGTGTCTGCACTCTGAAGGAGGGGTGTTAATGTTGCAGTAGTGTAGTGTAGTGTAGTGTAAAGCACCCCTCTGGCAAGACAGTGATGGAATGAATGATGTATGAAAGTTTTTCTTTTTCGGGCCACTCTGCCTTGGTGGTACTCGGCTGATGTGTTAACCCTTTGACTGTTTTGGTTGTATATATACGTCTTACGAGCCAGTGTTTCGGACATATACATATTCAATAATTCTAGCGGCTTCAAATCAAGCAGGAGAAAGCTGGTAGGCCCACATGTGAGAGAATGGGTCTATGTGGTCAGTGTGCACCACATAAAAAAATCCTGCAGCATGCAGTGCATAATGAGAAAAAAATGACCGCTTTTTTTCTTTTTAAAATGCCGACTTTGAGGCGTATTTTCGTATAGTATTTATCGTTGTATTCTCGTTTTCATGGTCTCATGTGATAAAATGGAAAACATATTGCAGAAATAGAGATGATTTTGATTAGTTTCACGATGAAAACGACATTGAAATTGAGCTCAAAGCAGCGGAAATGTTCGATTTTTACCAATGTTCAAGAATAAGCAGATCACACCACACACCCAATACACGCCAACTGAGGGGTCTAATATTTTTTCATTAGTGCACTGATATTATTTATACCATTTTTACAATAATGCAGTAGTCTGCATAACAGTAAATTTTGTATTTTTTTTTTTTTCAACAAGTCGGCCGTCTCCCACCGAGGCAGGGTGACCCAAAAAAGAAAGAAAATCCCCAAAAAGAAAATACTTTCATCATCATTCAACACTTTCACCACATTCGCACATTAAATGTGTATTTTTTTGTATGAATAAAAAATCAAAATAAAAAGCAGTAGTAATATAAGAGGGGCCAAGAGACGTGACTAATGAACAGAGGATATGTTATTTTAGTGCCAAGAATGTCTCCATTGTTTATTCTGGACCCTATTTTGAAATTGGCTTCTTTTTTTAATTTGCATGAAATTGCCAATTTCTGATCACTTTATTGGGTAGTTCAAATCGGTAAATGGGCGGTTTCTTGTACTCAGTTGATAGAAAAAATGGAGTTCTAAAGAAATAGCTATGAGTTTGGTCAACTGGAACAACGGAATTGGCCAAAACAGTGCTCAAAGTTGGCGAAATCACCGATCCATATATATCGCCAAGACCGCTAACTTCACGAGAGTGTAATTCCGTGAGTTTTCGACCAAATTTCGTACTTTTGGTGTCATTATCATCAGGAAAAGATTCTCTCATTTCATAAGAAAATTTTTTTTTTTTTTTTTTCCAAAAATTTTGCGACATAGAATGACAGTTTCAGAAAGGGGCTTGTGACAGTCAAAGAGTTAATAAATAAAAATTTAACATTGAGATCCCCATCCATAAGCACTCCTTATTTGGTTCAAAATTCCCCATGCACTCAACATTTCCCAAAATCCCTCTCTCTCTTCTACACTTCTCTCTTTCCTAGGTGCATAAACACTTACTATAACCCACTTTTCACATCCAACCCTTATTTTACTATAACCCACTTTTCACATCCAACCCTTATTTTACTCCACATACTCTTTGACTTTATACATTTATAATCCTTCTTTTCCTGCAATAACTTATCCTTCAACATTATTGCTACTCCTTCCTTAGCTCTAACTCTATTAGAAACCCCTGACCTAATCCATTTATTTCTCCCCACAGAAACTCTCCTACACCCTTCACCTTTGTTTCACTTAGAGCCAGGACAACCAGCTTTTTTTCATTCATAACATCCACAGTCATCATTCGCACAACATCCACGCACATTCAAACATCCCTCTTTGACGGTTTTCTTCTTTTTCTTTTTAGTAGGCTATATGGGGAAAAGAGGTTACTAGCCCATTGCTCCTGGCATTTTAGTTGACTTTTACAACACGCATGGCTTACGGAGGAAAGATTTTTATTCCACTTCCGCATGGATATGAAAGGAAAAGTACTAAGAACAAAGATTATTAAGATAAAATCAAAGAAAACTCAGATGAGTGTATATACAAAAATGTGTACATGCATGTGTAGTGTGACCTAAGTGTAGGTAGAAAGTAGCAAGATGTACCTGAAATCTTGCATGTTTATGAGACAGAAAAAAGACACCAGCAATCCTGACATCATGTAAAATAAATACAGACTTCCATTTTACACTCACTTGGCAGTATGGTAGTACCTCCCTGGGCAGTTGCTATCTACCAACCTACTACTGTACCTACAAATATTGTTAATATTTTCATTATTCATTTAAATGATTTTGAGTACATTGTAGGGCTTTTCTTATGTTTTTTATCAAATGAAAGCTTATGACCTCTTCAGAATTACTCAAATTGTACTGAGTAACTTGTTAAAAATTATTTCAAAATAATAGTTGTACTTCAGTGTTCCAACCAAAAATAATGTCTATAATATTTGCTCATGTATTTTTGTTCTCATAATTTGTTTTACTGTCACATAATGTAACTTTATATTTTATTATAGCACATCTATTTTTTGGTGCAGATTGGCAAAGAAATATATTGGGAAGGCTCAGGTGTGGATGAAGTAGCCAAGGAAAAGGGTACAGACATTGTCCGAGTGACAATCAACCCCAAGTACTATCGCCCAGCTGAAGTGGTAAGAGCAACAGATTTATTACTAGTACAGGCAAACTCTATTTAACACTCCCTTCTACCATTGCCCTGTATTTTTGTATTTTTGACAGTGTTATCTGCAAACCCCTTATATATATTATTTGCTCTCACAACCCCATTTACACTCAAAACAAGACAGGGCATTGGTGCTTAGTTGTCAGTCTTGCAGCTTATTCGAGATGTAAAAATATCTACTCACTTCTTTATGCATTTCATTAGAAATAACTTAAAAAAAATTCTTCATGCAGCAGCAGCAGCAGCAGCAGCAAGTGTTCCTTTTACATGAAAATGGGGAACTGGACAATTATATTTTTGCACATAAATTTACAGGCTAAGATCTGTTTCCTACCTAATCTCATTTCATAGCCCAGCCTATTTAAGCTATACTGCCATCCCTATAAGTTGTGACCCACAGTAGTCTGCTAAGACCCATGTACTCTTTCTTTCTTTCAACACACCGGCCGTATCCCACCGGGACCCATGTACTCTACCTACACAAATTTGCTGTTAGGCAGATTAGGGGCGAAAGGTGTAAAGATTTGTCTAATGTCTCTACCCATCTGGAATTGATCCCTTCAAATTGTAAGTGAAAAGCCTTATATATATGGGTTTACTGCCAAGGTAGATTAATCCAAAGAGGAAATATTCACCAACTTTCATTCAGTAGCTGTCTTTCCAGAAGTACTTACACAATACATTTCTGTTATACCAGAAATGACTGGAAATGGTTAAACACCAAGGCTTCATCAGTGATATGCTCACAGCAACTTGAGCATCAGAGCTCAGCAACACACACAGTTTTCCTGTCTCAGCAACACGCACAATTTTCCTGCCTTTGTCTCACCCTTTTTTGCTGAACAAACTGATGCTTCGTTCAGACCATAGGCTGTTGCTGTCTCCACTACACGTGCAACACTTTTAAGCTTATCTAATATCTCAGTTTTCTTCATAACACCAAGACTTGAAAGCTTAAATTCCTTCTTGCCATTTCCATCACCACTCACATTCCTCTTGGGTGTCATGGTTACTATACAGACAAGATAGTATGATGATGAAAAGATAAAAAATCAGTTCATTGACTCTGAACTGTGTATGGTATGGGATGCATATGCATGGAGAACTGAGGTGTGAGAGATTGTGTGCATTAACCCTTTTGGTGTTGGTCCTGTTGTACTACAGCTTTGAAGCCAGGGTCAGTCCTGCTGTACTATGCCATGAGCTCATCTCACTCAAATAAGCTGTGAGCAGTAAATTTGGGCTTAGATATGAGAGACTGGGTCTGTGCAGTAAGTGTGCACCATATAAAAAAATCCTGCAGAATGCAGTGAATAATGAGAAAAACTGCAACCATGTTTTTAGTTAAGACAGCAAATTTGCAGTGTATTTTCGTATGTTTTTTATGGTTGTATTCCTGGTTTCTTGGTCTCATTTGATAGAATGGAAGATACATTACAGAAATAAAAATTATTTTGATTGATTTTGGGACTGAAAGTAGCTTGAAATTGAGCTCAAAGTAATGGAAATGTTCAATTTTTGCAGATAGTATTTAAGAATACACAAATGACGTCAATTATTACAATAATGTAGTAGTCTGCATAGCAGTGAATCTTCTATTTTTTGTGTGAATAAAAAACAGAATGGAAAGCAGGCTTAATATAAGAGGGGCCTGGAGACGTGGTTGACATTATTTGATCAACATAGCTGGCATAATTTAACTGAGGGACAGGAAGGTCCCTGGCTAGCTAGTTAGCTTGCAAAGCCTTCACAGAGGATGTACAGTACTCAGCATAGCTGTGTACCAAAGGATGAAAATATATTACTTGAACCATCATATTGGATATTACACAGAGATGTAATGCTGAAGAAACAGCTCATGTAGTCATCTTACACGAGTTTTTTTAGTGTCAGGAATGTCTACATTGTTTATTCTGAACCCTATTTTTAAATTAGCATTTTTTTAATTTTGTGTGAAATTGGCCAAATTACCAATTTCTGATCACGTTATTGGGTAGTTGAAATAGGTAAATGGGCGGTTTCTTGTACTCGGTCGATAGAATAGAAGAAATACTAGTGAAATAGCTGTGAGTTTGGTCAACTGATACAATGAAATTGGTCAAGAATAGGGTGCAAAGTGGGTGAAATCGCCAATATGTATATATCACAAAGAGTGCTAAATTTGCAAAAACTTAATTTCATAAGTTTTCCATCAAATTTTGTACTTTTGGTTTCATTACCTTTGGAAAAAGATTCTCTATCTTTTTTTTTTTATATATAATTCTTCGACCCTGAGAGCAAGTTTGAGATCAGGGGTCTTGACCCTGAAAGGGTTAAGTACCAGTAGGCCTTCCTTTTAAAGACTCTGGCCTGACCTACAAGTTGGCTACCCGTGAGCCCGCAAGATGGAGAGGACAGCTGCTGCAATCTTGTCCCGCAGCATTCATATTTTTACCCTAAAATTGTGCCATTGTAAATGAACTTCACAATCTCAATAAAAAAAATACCTTAGTTTTGCAACCTCCACATATTGAAAATGTCCTAAAAGTTTGAGACTTAACCTGTAAACTGTGTCCAACATACTAGTACTACTGCACAGTTTTTCATACCTTCAAATCTGCTACCTGTCAATATTTTTGACTTCACCACAACTCTTTGGGTCCTCTGTAATCTCTTTATACATTTGGAAAACATCTGAGGCCAAGAGGTTTCACACATTGCATCATGGTTAACTACTCAGGTTATGACTGTGTGTCTGATGTAATAGTATGCCTAACTAGCAGTAGTAAATACAGTATCTCCTCACTTAGTGACGTACTCATTTACCGACGCCTCGGACTTATGACGGGCTCTCTGACCAGTATGCATACCTAAATAACGTATATTACAGCTGATTTCCTCTGTTCTGATTACTACAGTATACAGTACACAACTGTAGTAGGTTGGTAGACAGCAACCCCCCAGGGAAGTACTACCGTCCTGCCAGATGACTGTGAAACAGAAACCTGTAACTGTTTTGCATGATAGTAGGATTGCTGGTGTCTTTTTCTGTCTCATAAACATGCTAGATAACAGGGATATCTTGCTACTCCTACTTACACTTTGGTCACACTTCACAGACACGCACATGCATATATATATATACATACATCTAGGTTTTTCTCCTTTTTTCTAAATAGCTCTTGTTCTTCTTTATTTCTTCTATTGTCCATGGGGAAGTGGAAAAGAATCTTCCCTCTGTAAGCCATGTGTGTCGTATGAGGCGACTAAAATGCCGGGAGCAATGAGCTAGTAACCCCTTCTCCTGTAGACATTTACTAAAAAAGAGAAGAAGAAAAACTTTATAAAACTGGGATGCTTGAATGTGCGTGGATGTAGTGCGGATGACAAGAAACAGATGATTGCTGATGTTATGAATGAAAAGAAGTTGGATGTCCTGGCCCTAAGTGAAACAAAGCTGAAGGGGGTAGGGGAGTTTTGGTGGGGGGAAATAAATGGGATTAAATCTGGAGTATCTGAGAGAGTTAGAGCAAAGGAAGGGGTAGCAGTAATGTTGAAGGATCAGTTATGGAAGGAGAAAAGAGAATATGAATGTGTGAATTCAAGAATTATGTGGATTAAAGTAAATGTTGGATGCGAAAAGTGGGTCATAATAAGCGTGTATGCACCTGGAGAAGAGAGGAATGCAGAGGAGAGAGAGAGATTTTGGGAGATGTTAAGTGAATGTATAGGAGCCTTTGAACCAAGTGAGAGAGTAATTGTGGTAGGGGACCTGAATGCTAAAGTAGGAGAAACTTTTAGAGAGGGTGTGGTAGGTAAGTTTGGGGTGCCAGGTGTAAATGATAATGGGAGCCCTTTGATTGAACTTTGTATAGAATGGGGTTTAGTTATAGGTAATACATAATTTAAGAAAAAGAGGATAAATAAGTATACAAGATATGATGTTGGGCGAAATGACAGTAGTTTGTTGGATTATGTATTGGTAGATAAAAGACTGTTGAGTAGACTTCAGGATGTACATGTTTATAGAGGGGCCACAGATATATCAGATCACTTTTTAGTTGTAGCTACACTTGAGAGTAAAAGGTAGATGGGATACAAGGAGAATAGAAGCACCAGGGAAGAGAGAGGTGAAGGTTTATAAACTAAAAGAGGAGGCAGTTAGGGTAAGATATAAACAACTATTGGAGGATAGATGGGCTAATGAGAGCATAGGCAATGGGGTCGAAGAGGTATGGGGTAGGTTTAAAAATGTGGTGTTAGAGTGTTCAGCAGAAGTTTGTGGTTACAGGAAAGTGGGTGCGGGAGGGAAGAGAAGTTTTTACAAAGTAGAAGTGATGCAAGGAGGGAAGAGTATATGGAGAAAGAGAGAGGTTAAGAGAGTGGTGAAGCAATGTAAAAAGAGAGCAAATGAGAGAGTGGGTGAGATGTTATCAACAAATTTTGTTGAAAATAAGAAAAAGTTTTGGAGTGAGATTAACAAGTTAAGGAAGCCTAGAGAACAAATGGATTTGTCAGTTAAAAATAGGATAGGAGAGTTATTAAATGGAGAGTTAGAGGTATTGGGAAGATGGAGGGAATATTTTGAGGAATTGTTAAATGTTGACGAAGATAGGGAAGCTGTGATTTCGTGTATAGGACAAGGAGGAATAACATCTTGTAGGAGTGAGGAAGAGCCAGTTGTGAGTGTGGGGGAAGTTCGTGTGGCAGTAAGTAAAATGAAAGGGGGTAAGGCAGCCGGGATTGATGGGATAAAGATAGAAATGTTAAAAGCAGGTGGGGATATAGTTTTGGAGTGGTTGGTGCAATTATTTAATAAATGTATGGAAGAGGGTAAGGTACCAAGGGATTGGCAGAGAGCATGCATAGTTCCTTTGTATAAAGGCAAAGGGGACAAAAGAGAGTGCAAAAATTATAGGGGGACAAGTCTGTTGAGTATACCTGGTAAAGTGTACGGTAGAGTTATTATTGAAAGAATTAAGAGTAAGA